TGCCTCTTTTTGCTTTAACAACTCATTTCAGTTTCTTCAGCAGATTTCAGCAATGTCATTCAGCACTTTGTTCTCACTTGCTCTTGTTTTTGCGGTTTATGTACTAACTGGTAGAATCCAATACATCTTTCGGCTTCCTTGTTACCGTTTACCAAAGAGATGTGAGACACTCTGAGGAAGACTTGAACAAACACCCCAGGAACATCATCAGTTTCCAACTGGACATTGTGTTCTAACTTGCACAGCAGTGGATTGAGACAAAATAAGCTAAGAGCATCTCAGTCTCATTGCCCTACTGGGACACATCACCGTGCAACCTGCAGTTTACCAATAATGTGACATAAGTTACTTTTTGATGATGGAGACGATGCAGATACATTGTCAGGCGGCTATTTTTTTATGCTGTATTGTGATGATATTTAAGTTTTACAAGTTTTCCTTTTGTGGACATGCACTCTTCTGTGAGTGGTCATTAGATTCCTATTTATGTTTTACTCCATGGTAGTAATTAGCTGACTGTAGCTATGTTGAAATAAGAAGGGAGGGATTTAATGGCATTTATTTACTTTTTTAAAAGAAATGTATGGGAGCAAGACAAAATGTATTTCCGTCTTCAAACTCTAAGTTGCTACAGCCATTTGTGCCAAATTCATATGTAGAGGTTCGTTTGCTGTGAAGTCATAATGGCGATGAGCAGCATTGGAATTAAAAAGCTGATGCTTACATCGCTTATGCAGTGAAATCACTAGATAAAAAGCTGACATAACGGAGTTAAACTTATTTAATCTTATGACGTGCTTTTTTTTAAAACTATCTTTGGTAAAATCACACACAAAACTGAAAAATTTTCAGATTTAGTAGCAAGTTTAGAATGTAACCTTCAGCCTTGTTGTTATTATCACCGCCACCGAAGGATAAAGGAAGAGTGCGTTCAACGTTATTGTCTGTGCTGTTAGCAGTGACTCATTCAGGCAGTGTTACCAAGAAACTGCCAGGAAACTGCAAAAACACACATTTTAGACGTATCTTACAAAATTCAACAACACGTATTAGAGGACTGAACATTTTGTCCTTAATTTCAACACACTTTTTTTGTTTGTGTGTGTGTGGGGGGGGTATGCTCACATGAAAGCATGATGTAATCCGATATTCTTATTGCCCGCCGCCAAAAGGGAAAAGGTGGGCAGTGATGGTTTTTGCTTTGTTTTCTTGTGTGTGTAAGTCTGTGTGTCTATGTTAACCTGTTAGCAAAATATCTCGTGTTCCAATGGACAGATTGTTTTGAAACTTTCAGAAAGTTATGAGTGGGTATATTTGTACAAACACTTACATTTTAGAGTCAACTTGATTCAAATTAGCCACCCCACCTAAGCAGCCTTTGCTATTATAAAATAGCTATAACGCTGTCAGTTTTTTGTTTAATGAGCTGTGGTATTAGCTGAGACTAATCCATAGCATAAAATGTAAGTTCGAACAAATGATGTGAGATTTTTGCCATAAACTTTGCCTACGACTTTTGGAGTTGACGCTGTTTGTCTGTTGGTAAAATATTTTGTTAACCACTAGATGGATTTTAACAAAATTTTTAGAAAGTAATTGTTGGTTATGCATCAAAAACTGATTAAGGTTTAGCATCAATCCAGTTAGATGTGGTTGCCATAGCAAGCTAACTTCAGCAAACACAAAAATGGTTATAACTCAGTCCATTTACAGATGCTGAGCTACATTTTGACTTTGGTTGTAGCTGTGAGTCTTTCCCAACACATAACATGAGTGCCAACAGATTGTGTCAGAGCTTCTGATATTGTGTAAGACTATGCATAATATCCTGATGCATGCTCAATAATCCAGGTAGAAAAATCTAAAAAAGTTAAATCTGGTCCTCTGGACATTCAAAAAAAACCAAAACAAAGCAAAACAACAAAAAATGTAGAAACATTTCGTCTCTCTGACAAACACCCCAAACACCTCTCGGACTGACAGAGGACCAGATTTAACTTTTTTAGACTATGCATAATGTTTTTTTTCTCAAGATTTTACCAAAACTATAACTCTTGTCTCTTCTCAATATAGATTTTAGTTTTAAACTTTTGCCTGAAATGCAGCAGGCAGTGTGCATTATAATTGTTTTTAACTGTAAAAATAATAAAAATAAAGCAAGAATCGTAAAGTCTTTCAAAGGTCGAGCCAAGTAGTGCATTGAATTTTTATCAAGATGCCAAACTAAAAGAAAATAATTCCATATTTACTGACATGAACAGCAATTGGTTGTAATCTCCTTGTTATCTCTGTCTCTTCCCTGACATATTTTAATAAACCATCTTGTTTTTCTATCTTACTTTGTCTGTCTTACTTACACAGTATCTCAGGCAAAATATATGAGCTATAAAACACGATTAAACGTGAACAACAATGACTGAACATACAGGATTTGTGATGAGTCATCAGAATGCTGAATCATGCAAATTATGAAAGAAATGCTGAATCATGCAAACCACTGCAAAGGTCCCAGGAAGTGCTCCAGTTTGTCTTAATCAGGCACCATTACGTCGTTCTACTCATCTCCTCTCTCCCCTGACAAGGCTCAAGCACATACATGTTCACAGTCACACAAGCATTTTCCCTCACCTCGTGTTTATGTTCTTATAATTGTCTCTTTTTGGAGTCAACTTTGCACATTTAGTTTGCCCCCACGACTTAATTTCTCTTATTTACACTTTTGTCCACATGTGTGCGTTCCTTTCTTTGCATGCCTGTATACTTATGTATGGGTAGGGGTCAGTGGGAGTGGTGGGTATGTAAGAGAGTGACCGCCAGTCTATTTATAGCACCTCACTCCTCCCCTTTGGCTCCGTCTCGAAACAGTGTTGAAATTCCAGCCCAACTCTTCTGGTCAGACCTCCACAAGGAGCCGACTCCACTTAACTCCTACTGACAACTTAAAGACAGCCACGCAGCCGCTTTCAAAGAAGCACTTCATTTCAGGTCCTTTTTTTTCCCCCTAATGAGATTGAAGGATTCCAAGGTCACGGGAGCTGCTGCACGAAGAAAAGGTGGCAGGTCGGAGGCAGAGCAGAAGTTCAAGTAGAAACTGATAGTTGTTCTGTAGGCTCGTATAGCTGTCATGCATGGGGCCCTGCATTGCCTCTGATCTATCCCAACCTTTGCTGGAGCAAGACTTTTGGAAAACTTTTGATGTTTTTTGGTAATTTACTCACAACAGAATCAGGCTGTTAATTTGAAAGGACGCTCTCACTCCTCTGTGACTTGTTTAGTTTTGAAGAGTTGAGCCGTCTTCACGTGGGCTCTTTCAATCCGGTTATGGCTCCTCAGAACTGGATACAACTTTTTTTTCCAGTGTCCGTTGGATTGCATTTGAGAAAGTGTTGAAATGCTGTGTTCGTAACATCTTTCTCACCCATCTTTCATTTTGTCTGACTGTCTTTTTCTCAAGGATGGAGCTTCATATTTTTAACTTTGGTTAAACTGGCCATGTCAGAACCAGACATGAATGCGATGTGAATAGTTTTTGTACTGAGAAGTTTTTGAATAATTAAGAAATATCCTATTGAAAGGAAATAATTTTCCAAAATCATGAAAGCTGTCATTAGCTCCCTGTGAGGTCCCATTGCTCCACCGCCCAACTGATTCTTCCCACTTCATAGACTCTAACGGAGAATTTTTGTTGTTCTGGATCATGGAAGTCCCAACTAAATGGAGTAGGGCAAGTGTCATCAGCTTCATAAAGGGTCTTGGTAAGCTTATGCATGTTTGCATTTGCATCCACGTGTGCTTGCTTCATGTGAGGACTTGGGTTTCATTCAAACTGATTGTCGTCTGAGGCCAAGAGGCTTCTGGGAGTTAGTTCTCACCTCTCTGAGTTCATGTCACATAATCACAAAAGGTCAATTAGATCCAACATTGTTAACTCATAATGTGTTGTGATAATTTCATATGATTAATTTTCAAATTGCATTAACTGCATTACTTGTGATTAATTGTAAACAACAGTAGTCTGCAGCTCAAATTGTGGATCAATTTGGGGAAATTACTGCCAGTTTTTGGGGTTGTTGTTGAGGTTCTCCTTAGGAGTGACAAGGTTGGATAAGATTAGGAATGAGATCACCAGAGGTACAGCACAGGTTGAACAACTGGGAGATAAAGTTAGAGAGACCAGACTCAGATGGTTTGGACATGTCCAGAGGAGGGACAGTGGGTATATTGGTAGAAGGATGTTAGAAATGCAGCTGCCAGGGAAAAGACAAAAAGGGCAAAGAGGAGATATCTGGATGCAGTTAGAGAGGACATGGAGGTAGTTTGGAGTGAGGACAGAGGATGCAGAGGACAGAGTGAGATAGAGGAGGATGACTCGCTGTGGTGACCCTAAAGAGGGAAAACCTGAAAGAAGAAGAAGAAGAAAACTGTCAGTTTTGGGGGCTACTTCTACGTTACTCTGCTAGATTCCTCTCATTCTTTAATACCTTTTCATTATGACATTATGTAAGAATTAATGGTAATCAATTTGTCTAGTGTTGTAATCATCAGTGAAAGTGAAAACACAACTTTCAGAGCAAGTATGCATGGACTGCAAGCGTGAGTGTGTTTTCTCTTTGGCATGTGCCCCCTGTCAAAGTTAAATACCAATATTTAGTCATGGCTCAGAGAGGATTAGCTGAAAAAATAATAAAATCCAATGACGAAGATTAAAGTTAGAGGTTTAAAATCAAAGCTCTGTCTTGGCTGCACAAATCGATGGCATCAATGCTTACCTTTAGCAGAACACAGATATGCAGTTTTATGTAATGGCTCTTTATAAATTATAAATGGATGGTCATTAGAAATAAATGCTCTTAAATCTACTTCCTGGTATCATATGATAGAAAAAAACAAAACAATATTATGAAGTACTCCACTAATAAATAACCAAAGTTAGGTAACAAAATAAAACTCATTTTAAAATGACAAAAATACTAAAAAGAGCACTACTTTGCTATTTTCAGCTTCTCCAGTGGGATTGAAGCCCCCAATCCCACCAGCCAGTGCAACGTTGGGAGAGAGGAAGGGTCCAGTCGTCATGGCTCCTGTCAACGTGGACCCTGAGAGCAAGCCGGGCGAGTTTGTCCTAAAAAGCCTGTTTGCCAACTTCACCTTGCTCTCGGAACGCAAGATTCGCATTATCATGGCAGAGCCGCTGGTGAGTGAGTTTGCATGGATTTCTATTTAGTGATGCGACTCAGTTTCTTATGGGATTCCTCTCCGGTTACAGAGTCGGTGATTATATATGTTGGTCGTTTATCTGATTTTGTTATTCAAAGTGACTTTTTATGAACTCATACTAAGACCGCTTTTATCCAGGCAAAATTATTATCTGCAGCAAACATTGCAATTTTTAGCATCTTACTTGTTTCATAAGTCAGAGTCAGAGAGATTTATCTGTCATTTGCATCCCATGTGGTACATGTGTTGGAACAAGATTATGTACACAGGGTCCCAGTTATATCCAACAATAAAATGTAAAAGAAAAATAGTAATAAGATCTAAGATATGAACTAAGAAAAACATCAGCTAAACAATACTCATAAACAATACAATAATCAGGTCTCTCTTGTAAATGAATCCTCGAGGCTCAATGGGATTTACCTGTATAAATAAAGGTTGATTGAATACACTAAGCACTAATAGCATAAAAAGTT